CCCAAAAGCTTTTGGCAATCAAGTGATCTGTGGTTTGCACACTTGTATACCTTTTTTTACGTCTTTTTGTAAGGCATCATTTTAGCCCATTCTCATTAGGCATGTTGTTTATTGCAAAGTTAATTAAAAAAAAATCTGTTTTGGGGAAACCTGTAATTTCTTATTCCATCTTCGCTGCTACCAAGAAAATGGAGGGGGGGGGATAAAGTGAAACTGCAAGACAAGCCTCTTAAAAGCTTTTCTTTAGTGGGAAAGGGAGGTAAATTCAAACATATGATAAAGATCACAGGTAACATAAAATTCACTGATAGTTGTCATTCCATGGTGGTGTGAATTTTCAGGAATTATTAGTGTGCATGTGCTTATTCATAACAGACATGGTTCCCACTGTTGTTGTGGGAAAAGTGTTGATACTAACAAGCAGAACAGTGTTTTTGACAGTCTTCCTAAATCGAATTTTTAAAAATTGAAATCTGGCCTGCATATGTAGTTGATTTTACAAGTTTTTTACAGGGTTAGAAATTGCAGGATCAGATTTCTGATGCATATGTTCTTCTGATAACCAAATGTTCTGAAAATAGTTCAGTTGTCTGAGAGTAGCCATATGAAATTCTGCATCCGATTCTGAGTTTGGATGATAATGCTTGGTTTAGCTCTTCAGCTGTTAGTCCATACATAGTTAGCAAAACAGTGTTCTACTGGAAATTTTAACAGTTGTCTTGAATGTTGGAAATGACGTGAATTAATATCAAAGTAACCCTGCAGATGACAAGAGTCTTGCACTACGAGGGCTGTGTTGGAGGATCTGTCTGGCTGCAGCTTGTTATTCAGGAAGCCCAGCAAAGCCAGCCTGGTGGAGGAGATTCAACACCCTTGTGATAGAACACTGTAGGGAAGCTCAAACTGTAGCACATCTCTCACTGTTAAATTCGTGTGTGTGTGTATGGTTTTTAGCTAGCCATACTTTGGTCCTTTGGTAATTGGCTCAAATCTTGGAGCTTTTAAGTGCCATATCACAGAAAGATGATTTTTTAGACTTAGACCAATTTTTGTTGGAAGGGACCTCAAATGTCACCTGCTCCCACCTCCTGCTCAGAGCAGGGCCAGCCTGTGTGTCCCCTTGCTCGGAGCATTGTCCAGGTGCATTTTCAAGGTCTGTGAGACTGAAGTCACTGCACCCTCTCTGGGCACCTCGTTGCAGAGTTTAGTTGCTCTTGTTGGAAACTTTTTACTTCTATCATGTTGAAACTTTCCTGGCTGCAGCTTGTGGCTGTTCCCTCGTGCCCGTTGCCTGCGCGCTTGCGAGAAGGGTCTGATTCCATCCTCGCTGAAGCCGCCCACGCACGTGAGCGGGTTTGCATGTGTGATGTGCGATTGTGATCTTATCCGCGCTAAACTTTCCTCCTTTTGGTTTTCGTCTTATGTTTGGCTAGCTCAGCTGTCGCTTTGCTGAGGTCTGATGACAGAAAAGTGTAGGAGGTTTATGAAATGAAACATTTTGTCACACACTTTGACCTATTTTTGACTGGAAATATAGGTGAAATTCCCAATTCTCTCGTCAAAGAGCAGTGTTATTGTAGTACAGCTGCAGAGGACATCAAACATTGAATATTCTTTAGCTTATTTTCCTTTTTTTGAATTTCAAATTAATGAGCTAGAGAAATCTTCTTGGATCCTTACCGGGATCAGAAAGATTCTTACTGTGAAATGCCAGAATGTGTGTCGAAGAAATGCAACAATACATGATATGTAGGAACATTTCAAACGTTTGAGTTGGGCCAGTTTTAGGCTGCTACAAGAGCAGCCATCCAGAAACTTGGAGTTCCTGAATCCATATTGAAGTTACTTCACATCAGCAAATATTTCCCATGGGACTTTTTGAGGAGGTGAAGGAGGGAGAGAAAGAAAGGCTGGATTCCAAGTACAGATTCAAGTGTTCCTTTTCACGTTGACAGTTTGGAGAGGTTTTGTTTTATTTCTTGTCTCTGTTCTTGTATATGGCCTTTATTCTTCCCTATGAGTCTTCAGTTTTCTGCAATACTGATTGCAAAACTCCTATTTTAAAGTAACTATTAGAAACCCTTCCACAGTACTCTGGCATTAATTATTCCTAGAATTTTAATGAAACGGGAAGACAATTTAATGAACTTGAATTTTGCATTAGCGATACTCTGCCTTATATGCTTATCTGTTATCTGTCCATCTGGCAGCTCACATGCTTGTTGGCAGAAGTGCTTTTATTTCCTTTCCTGAAAAATTCTGGCATTGAATGTATAAACAAGCAGTACTTCTTTCTTCATTTATAATTCAGCATGAAATTCTGAACATTATTAGTTAATTAATATTAAATATGGTGAATTCTTGCTAGTGTGAGTATAACGCTCCGAATTGAAGCATATGGAGTGGTACCACCTCCTCACCGTGAGAAGCTGGCAGATTGAGATCCATCTGTCAGCTGACACACGCACCAGTGCACGTCTCTGAGTTTACGCTGAGGCAATGCAGGCTGCCAAGAGAAACTGTGAGTGGGGCTGAGAGCATCTACAATCATGACAGATTTTGGGGGAGGGCAAGTGGAAGAATTGCTTTCCCTCCCCAACTCGATAGATGCTTAAAAAATTTACAGACTCTTTATTTGAAAACTTGAGCTGGCTTTTCATTGCAGAATTAATTTATTAATAGCAAACACACTATGGACCCTGAGCTTACAAGTGTGGTTATTTACAGCCTGTTGCTTTTTTGCTCGATTTATTCACCTCCTTCCCCAGCTGTATACAGCCATACAGAAACCATGCTCCCTTGCTGGGGGAGAAGTTAAATTGCTCTCGACTTGAACCACTGATGTGATAGTATATTGTGCTGGGTAGACAGCGTAACCCAGGTACTGCACTGGGGTGTGTAAGAAAATACCTGGCAATATCTGGGTATGTCAGAAATACCTGATGTTCACAGACATAGAGCTGCAAGAAACTAGGCTGAGAAAACAACCCTGTTTCATGTGGATCTACTGGGCTTTCCAAGCGTACAGGTACATATGTTCTTCAGGTAGCAACTCCTATAGCATTTAAACAGATTCTCACTTCGTTTGGCAGGGTAGAAGGTTGTAGTGTGATCGGCTATTTAATACATTCCCAAAAGACATCTGTAGAGGCTTTCAAAGTTAACTCTCCTGTTGGATGTTAACTTAAATGAAATGTAATGTTTTCAGAATTGGCCAGAGAAACACAGACATTCTGAAGTCTTTTTCTCAGTATGGATAAAATTTGAAATGGTGTTAGTTGAATTGGTTTTGAATATCCTCTTCCAAAATGATTTTTTTGTGAATACTTTAGAGAAAGAAATGAATCCACAGGTTTATACAACTTCGTCATAGCGATAACAGACAAAAGCCTAAGCTTGGAATTTCCCCACCCCCGAAGTATGTAAAATCTTATCAGTTTAATTTCAGTTTTGTCTGCAGAAAAGCATCTTGCACAAACTCCTCAGTAAGTTGAAACTTCTGTTTCTTGCATTTATTTTGTGATGTTATGGCTTCCTGGTTTTGTGCAAAAATGACACTAATTAAAGTCATCCATAGTGTGACTGGGGAGAACTTGTCATAAACAGCAAACTAGTTAACTTAGCTGGATGTTGCTCATTTTTAACAGAAGTTTTATATGTATGGCATGCTGTTCACAGAGAAAACTGCTGGCAAATGTTGCTATTACAACCTTATCTTTGGTATAAATGTACAGTCTCTTCCTCTTGTCACTTTTTAATTTCTAATGGTTGTATTATATGGGGGTGAAACACGGTTTCTCTCTCTGCTGTCAGAAGCAGTAACAGGGCAGACAGTAAAATGGCAAGTTGTTAGCCTGGTGTTCCCTGCAAATGCTGCCCTTCCACCTTGGAGGTGAATTTTTTTTTTTAAGGCATTCAGGTTTGAATATTAATGCTATATTGTATGAGGATGTTTGGCTTTGGGGAGAATTGCCTTACTTGTGAAAAAGTTGATTGGTTCATAAACCAAAACATTTTCTAAAGGCTTGTAAGGTAGGTAAGTGTAACTTATATACAGTATCCTATTTGAAACTTAAATTCTTTGCTCATACCTGGAGAAATGGGTTAAAATACCTATCGATATTTTGCATGACCTATACATGCTATGGTTTGTGCCTTTTAAGACAGAATCTCTGCAAGTTGAAGGGGAGGGGGGGAATTGGGGCTTAAAATTTCTTTTTTTTTTTTTTCTTTAAGAGATAATTTCTAAGTAAGAGCCTAAATAATTATTTTTCAAGACTTACGTTGAAGGAACTGGTGAGTGACACTGAACCTTGGTCAGAAGAAGGATGTAAAACCTATATATAAAACCCATCCTTAGTGGAAAGGTTTTCCGTTACCCTGTTATCTTTGGTCTGTCTTTGGGGTATATAAAGAATTAGTATCTTGCAGCTGTAACAGAAAATAAATCTGTGTTATGGAATTAGGCCAGATCCAGCAGAGGTGAGGCTGCCGCGGCTCCCTGCCCCAGGTCTGACCTGTGGCAGGGCTGAGCCTGTGTTCCCAGAAGGGAAAAGGGTTTTCTTGCCCAGAAAGAGTTAGAAATGGAATTTCCTAAGAAGACAGGACAAACTGCAGATCAGACAGTACATGTGTATGGACCAGCCACTGTTTATGTATGAGCGACTGTTTTTATCCCCTTATCCCTCTGTTTTCCCACACTTGTTCCTCCATGAGTCATCTAGATACTTCCCTTTCCCCACCTTTGGTTCCTCCCCTAAACAACCCATAGTAAGTCTTGTGCAATCCCAAAATGCTCTTCTGCATCCCATACCTGTCCCCATACCCTGATGCGCTGACCACCTCCCTCCCAAAGGTGCTCTGGAGCTGGCTCCCCAGGATGGGTGTCACCCCTGGCTGGTGGGGCTGAGACTCTCCTGAGACAGCCGTCCCTTCCTCTGAGTCCGTAATTTGTGTTCCCCCATCTGCCTTTGGGCTTCTGCTCCTCTGGGCTTGTGGGGATGGACCTGGGATGGGCTGATGGACCTGGGCAGGGTATGATTCGGGCTCCCCCTCCTTTGTGGGTGTGCAGAGGAGCTTTCTGTCAGGTACCCAAATAATTTGTATTATAAACTGTATCAAGATAGAAATAGTCAAATTTGTCTATTTTTTTGGCCTTTGTATAATTGGCATTAATTTTAATACTGGATTTTTTTTGAGTTTTTAATATGTTACGAAGTATCAACCTTTTTGTGAAGGGATTATCTGACTAAAAAAATCTGTCCTGGTTGCAATTCAGTTTGCCCACACAAGTCTAATTTGTCATCCATAAAATAAATACACTTTGTCAGAAAATATATTTGTCCTGTTACTAATTCATTTGATTTATTTTTGATGTTATAGATTGCCCCTATATTGCGAGAATACTTTCCAATTCGACTTTTGGTCTCCAGTGAGCAAAAGAAACGGCTTTTTCTAATACCTGCTTTACTATCGGAAATTAAATTTTCTGGATGGGCAGTCATAAAAGCTAAGGCCAATGAAATAGTGGTTGGTAATAGATTATTTTTTCATGTGAGGTATATTGGCAGTCGGACGATGAATCTATAGAAACTTGAAGGTGACAGAAGGGAGTAAGTCTCTTTAAAAATGTATGCTTAGAGATTGATGAAGTGAAATGCAGTTGTGTAAGATCTAATTTATCAAATAATGTAACATTTCTGAAAGATGATTTGCTTTCACTTTTCTATACTTTTGTTGGTTTGGGAGTTGCTGATTACCTTCAATTTTTTATTTTTTTTTTTTTTCTTCTTAGTAAAACGCTTCAGAGAACCAAAGCATGAAAGACGTCCCTGGAGAATATGGTATGTTTCTGCATGTTTTATTCTTAAATTTTTTTTCTTGCACATTTTAGAAATTGAAGGAATGATTGTATACATATGATGATTAAAAAAAACAAAGTGATAACAAGAAATTAGTGACTGACAGTGAGGAACAAAGAAAGTTACCATAATACATGGGTCAATGAAAAAGTTATCTTCTGTGTATTTCCCTGCTAGTTCTTTCTTACTGAACGCTTCCAGGAATCTCTACAAAGATGTGCATTTAGACATAAAGCTGAAAGTTGTGCTTTCTCCTGAAGGCAGAAACTTACAGTTACCCTAAGATGCATCTGAACATCTACAAACTTACATAAGCTTACAAGAAGCTCTCAGCTGGCCTTAAACAAAATTCCATGTTCTGTAACTATTGTACTATGTATAAGATAGAAAACAGTATGGTAAAAGATATAAATACATAAGCCATAAAAGAATACAAGGTATAAAAAGTATATTTGTTTTTACTACTTTTTAAGAGTTGTTGGATTGTAGCAATGCCAACATAACCTGTACTAGTTTTGAGACTGGTATAAGTGTTAAGCTGTCATTCCAGTTGTTGAAGACTTCAGTGGCTTAAATTCATCTCATACAATGCTGCTTTTCATAACTAATCCTGACCTTTATTTTACTGAAAAAATAAAAAACACAAAATCTTCGTGTACTTCAGTCTACCTCAGCCTGAAATTCTGGGTAGTGTGGTGATAGCCTTTAATTTTTAAGCAAAGAATCTTTTTCTAGGACTTGAGTATTATTATTTATAGTATGGTGTACTGATTAGATAAGTAACTCATTGGCTTCCTGCCTCATCTCCAGTACTCTGCTTTCTATGTTGTGCAATGAATGCAAGAGAATAAAGTTCAAGACAAAATTGTCAGGGAGGGGAGATGAGTTCGGGCATAAAATGTTGTTTGGATCTGTTGAGGTGTTTGGACATTTTTAGACGTGGAAACAGCAGGCAAAATGAGTGTTGGTCTGTATAAAGAACACGCTCTTGCCTGCAGAATACTTGTGACATGATTCCTATATTTAATATTTAATGAAACATCATTGGAAGTTTTGTTTTTGTGCAAAGGATGGTGATAGAAGAATGGTAAGGGCTGGAGTCAATACTGCATCAGCACCTAAGTGCTTTTTTTATATTTTCCCTGTAAGTAGCAAACTATTTTCTCTCTAACTCTGTCATCTGCTTTGGAGATAATGCTTTCAAGTTTGTAATTCTTTTGCAGTGTGGTCTAAGCTGTTGTACTTTAGATATAACTCAGCAAGACCACTTCATGCTTTCAGGTGAAAAATATGTTGGCTTTTTAGCGAAATATTATAGGTAAAGGAATCATTAGCCAGCTATTAATCACCAACAAGCATGTGATGAGGATTTTATTTTTGTCTTTGCCATAAATTTGCTAAAAATGCATAAACGTAAAAGGACTAAAATATCTAGTGAGGCTGGGATACTCATTGTTTACAGGAGGTTATTAAAGACTTAGCTAGGTTTAGTGAGGATTAGCTCTTGGATAATGCATATGATACCAAGAAGATATCCCCAGACTTTAAATTTACAGTGGTAAGGTTTCATGTTAGTATGATTTGGTTTATTGTTAGCAATATTCAAGAAAAAAAAGGGGCAGAATTTTAAAAAGGAACATTGTTAAATAAGCTAAATACCATGACACTTTATCATTCTGGTGTTCTTATTTGAAGAAAAAAATAATAATTGAGATGGAATTTTAATTAAAATAAATTTAAATACCAAAATAAATTTTATTTTAATTAAAAATAAAATAAATTTTATTTTAATTAAAATAAATTTGCAATATGTGACTGTGGTGTAAACAGTTTTGTGTGTCTTAAAAAAGTGTTTTTACTCTATACAGGTTTTTAGATACTTCCAAGCAAGCCATAGGGATGATGTTCATCCACTTTGCAAATGTCTATTTATCAGACCTTACAGAAGAAGACCCTTGTTCACTGTGAGTGTTTAATTTCAGAATAATTGGTCTTTATGGAAGTTCTGCTGTTGAGTTTGGTGGTGTATGTGGATGATAATGCAAGATATAGCTGATAAACCAATTTTCATGGTAAAAATCAATCACTTTCAAAAACCTGTGGTTTAAGCTTAGTTAATCAAGGATCGCAGTTCTGCTGTTTTAGTTCATGGCTGGCAGGACCTGGGAAAGCTTTTTCTGGGCTATAGCTATTTTAGACTGTGGGTAAACTCTTACTGCTTCTCCCTCTCCAGTTAATGAATGAGGACTTAGTACGCACATTGTAATATGGGGCTGTTTACTGAAGGAGGTGCTAGGGACCAAAGGAAATGAATATAAATATAAATGAATATAAATGAATATAAAGTTGTGGACGCTGAGCTCCCGCTGCACTGTTCACTGTAGCAAGGCTTTAATATAAAGTCAGGTTGCTTCCAGGGATATTTAGCAAAAATCATTCGTGCTTATATTTTCTTCTAAACCCTATATTAGCTACTGCAGTATTATTTTCGTTTTGTTAAAAGCAGGAAATCTTGCTCGGTACCCACGCAGTTAGTACAAAAATTAATTTTGCAATGTCACGCTTGGAGCAGTGTGACTAAGTAGATAAACATTTCACTGTAGTGTATTAAACCTGAAGATTTTTATGACTAAGACCCCATCAGGCTCTTTACAGGAGCTCCTGAAGCAAATGGTAATTGTATGGGTTTGTTCTTGATAGAGCTCATGCTCAAAGAAGCTTACACGTTCCTGGTAATGGAAGCTGTGAAATTACTTTTAAAAGCTTAGTAATTTGCCCTTTAAAACCAATCCAGTTCTTTCAATGGCATCTGCTCACTGTTGTCCTTTGGTAAACAAAGGAGCTACACAGCTCACGGAATATGCTTGTGTTGCTTCACAAGCCTGTTTTATTTCCCTTATCCCTCCTCGGTTTCTTTTGTGTTCCTACATGCTATAAATGTGCAAGTAAAATACTGCTTTTCTCTTCCCACCACAAAGCATTTTGGTAGGGAAGATGCATTTATTTTAGCACGCTAACTGTAAAGTTTAAGTTATAGTTATGACAGTTTATATAATACCAGGCATCATTGTAAGGTTTTCCTTGCTTACTGATTTAAGAATTTCCTGATAGATTTAAAAACTGGCAGGTGCAAATTGCTTTCATTCTATTTTTATATATTAAAGTATATATTCATGTAAGCTAACCAAGGCACGTCTACAGTTGTCAGTGTTTAAAGTGAAAGCTCAATAGTTTATTACAATATTTTAAAACTAAAAATAACTGCACTGTGTACTGAGTTTTCAAAATAAAAGGTTTGCTAACATATGCGTTCTTTTCTACATGTTTTAATATAGTCTACATAACTTTATTTTCAAGTACCACTTTTCACATAAGTGTAATGTGGCACAAAACAAGTAAGAAGGTGAGATAGAGAACTGTTATTCACTGTTCCCAGGATAACAAAAATTACAATGCGGAGCTGCAGAATTTCTCAGACAAGGGTGCAGGTCCTCCTTGTTAGCAGAAAAGATAGTATGTAGTATCAACCAAAGCCACTTGTCCTTTCTTGGGAAAAATATATCTTAAGTGTGCAAGTGGGTCAAAATTAGCGAGTAAAAGGAAAGTTTTTGTCTGTGACTTCTATGATAATTTTACTCAGCAAATTCAAACATGGATAGTTTTCTGTTCTTTCCTGTTCTGTAGTTTGTGGGTTATTTTCAGAACAAAACCAGAAAATACAGTTTCAGAAAACATTGTGGTTCAAAGCTTGGAAAGAACTGCAATTGGAAGTTGCCATTTGTTAGTTTGGGAATGTAGTGCTGTAATTCAGGCAGGTGTGTGACAATATCAAAGCTGATAAAACATCTGTTAAAACACCTTGACAGATGGATTGTTGTTTGAAGAATTTTAAATAGAAAAAGCAAACAGCACTCTTCTGCAGTGCAGTGTACTCAGCGGGCTGCATGCCGTACACCAGGAAGGCTGTATGAACCCCAGCCTTTTACTCACTGAACTCTGTCAAATGCGTTTCTCTGATCGTGGCAGCAACTTGTTGTGTTGTTTGTGCCAGTGCACCAGTTACACGTGAGGAGGGTTAATGCGGTGCATCACAGAGTGAGCGTGCTGCCCACATGTAGTGAGCTTGATGTGCTTGGGAATATCAGGCATACTTGGCTTGTGCTGTGAGCCGTAATTTGATGTGAAATAGGTGTTGGCACGTCTCTTCTCCCTGCTCCTGATGGCTGCCTTCCTGCTATAGGCTTACAGCAGCCCCTTGTGGCCTCAAAATGACTTGTGTAGACTTGTAATTGCTGAGTTTCCTCTGCCAAACACTAAACCTTGATTTTTAATGTTTGTCTAATATGCAGTTCATTAAAACTCTGATTTGACACGCAACTATTAGAAAATAACTAGTTTTTAGAAAGTTTATGGGTAAGCCTTGGCTGAAGCAAGGTATGTCTGCTTCATTTTTATTTTTGAGTTGCTCTTGAACGGGATTTTGAGGGTCAGAACAGCTTCTCCTTTACTGTTTTAACTGCACATATTCTGTCTTTGCTTTCCACTTTCTGATACTATTTTGTCCACATGGATTTGTCTCCGCAGCCAGCAGAAGCCCACAGGTCTCTGCTTTGGTATTTTTATCCCTGCAGATAAGTTCCTATAGACTCTAGAGTTTACCTTAAGTATTTGGAATTACCAAATAAGAATCTCAGTAACGGGCATTTACTATGTCTTATAGCTGGCTCTTTCTCAGCTGCTGTTTTGTTCAGCTAAAATCGGTGACAGTAAATATACCAAACTGACTTACAAAATGCTCTGAATTTCAGCTGCATCATTTAATCAACCTAAGAATTCATTTGAAACCCATAGTAATCTCTAGTTTCTTGAAGCATAGGTAAAATCCCAGAAGCGTTTCTTGAAACAATAAAATTAGTAGTGCAGCAGTTGCGTGTCCGTTGAGGGGTGGTTTGGTTTGGGTTGGTCTTTTTTTGGGGGGGGGGGGGGGGGGG